AACATGTCATTGCCCGCCCCAACCCATCTCCCTGTCTCCTCTGTACTTGAGCTTGGAGCCCAACCATTTTGTTGTGCATTTCGTGCATTTTTCAAGCTGCCTGCCTGCCTGCGAGTCTGCGAGTCTGCCTGCCTGCCACGTCAATTGCTTAATTGATCAATTTAATTTGACACTCATTCAAACACTCGTCGACTACGGAGACGACGAGTACGTCGGGAGGGCGAGGAATGGCAAGATAAATATCTTTTGCTCCCGATTTTCAGCGTATTGAAAGCGCTTTTTGTGTTTCGATTTATGCAAATTGTGTCGACGGGCCATCTGGCCAACTGTATGTCTCTCTCAATACATACAATACAAATGTCTTTATAGCTGTATATACTCGTATGATGTACATAGTATGTGTGTGTGCGTGCGCTCTAAATTCTTTTCCATGGAAATTGTGTTGCGCTGTTTCATCAATTAATCAATTTTTTCTGTGGTATTTGTTGCGGGGATTTAGTTGTGTTTGCTGTTGATTTTTTCGAGTTAATCAGGAAGTCAGTCAGCACTGTTTTAATGTTTGAAATTTAGCGGGTCTCAATTTGTTTAGTTTTTCTCTATGCGTGTGTGTGTGTGCGTATGCGTGTGTGTGTGTTTATGGCACTGTTTGGTGTGGAAGTGTTGACATTTAAAGTTGAAATTGTTTTGATGGATGAGCTGGTTAATTTACTCATCGAGTAAACATAGCCAAAGGGCCAGTCAGTAAATGAGCAGGAATTTCAATAAATCAAATGTGGATAATGAGAAAAAAGATAAATGAAATAAAATTGAAACAAAAATATATGCAGCATTTCATCGTTTGAAGTACAGTTTGGTTCTGAAATGAAATTTATTTGTAGCTATTCCGGAAATTGTAGAGCGCAGGAGTGAGGCTTTAAGTTAGAAAGTAATAAAATATTGATTCGATATCGATATTAAAAATACCTGCGCCATCCATAGTTTTTTTTTATAAAAATGGGCGTAAATTTTATAAAATTAGATAAATATTTGCATCGAATCAAATAAATACAGCTTTGTTTTCAGAAAGAATACACTGAACTAAAAATGAATTTCTAATATACACAGAAACATTGCTAATTGATAATAATTAAAGAAAAAAAATATATATTTGTTATAAATAGTTCTTCTAAATCCGTTGGCAGTCACAAAAGTAAGACAAAGGTGTGTGCTTCTGATTTCAAAGACTACCAGTTTTATTTATAGAATAACTCATGGAGAAACATAATAACGCAGAGTCAAAATAAAAGTTAGGTATTCATGTAAACAATCGACAGTGTAGCTTTTCAATAGTGTGCGGTGTATTGCTAGAGTAGGGGCTCTTGCAATTCTGGTTCAGTACCTACCTGCGGCCTCCACGGGCAGGCAGTGCCTACGCATTGCCACAGGCCACAACTACAACTTACCAGTTGAAGCCCGGAGCTACTATATCACACTCCGATACTGGCGAAACACCAGCTGCGCAAGCCAATGATCACTCATAGACAGCTCCCCCCTCTTCTCAAGCACAGATGCATCAACCGTTGACCACTGGACGATAAATCTCTTATGACAACCATTAAAAATGCAACCAAGAGCCGCCAAAGAAATTGCCAGTCTTGCGTCTAACCATTACTTGTGTGAGTGTGAGTGTGTGTGTGTTTGTGTGTTGCAGTGTGGCTGGTGGCTAATGCCACTTTTAAAGCCAATTGAGCGTGTAATTAACTAACTGTACATTTCAATTTATGAAAAATTTGCAGTCTCCAAACGCGCTTCCACGAAAAATGCAGCAGAAAATGAAAACAACACAGGAACAAAAACAAAAAACCAACAGAATGAAGCGTTACGCCCAAAGCAGTTTCCTCTCCACTTCTTCGTCCTCTGGCCAGCCTCTCTCCAATGCCTGTAGGCATCACAAAAACTTGGCTGAAATATCAAAGACCCGCCAGGTGTTGTGCTTTTTGCACTTGGGGAAAAAAAGTTAATCAATGTCTTTATTGCCTCTTATTAATGCTATTTGTAATCGTTATCGGTTTGCCGCTTCTAAAAACTAAATAAGTTTTAACCTTAAACTAAAAAAACCTAACAGAGTTTCTCTGTAATTCCCTTCAATAGAGTATACATGAGTATATTTTTCTCGGAGTGTAGTTGCAAGTGGCCGCGCCAAGTGTAGAGCAAGCCGCCTGTCCGCCAAGAAGCTACAACCACGCTTGCCTCACGGCAATGCCACGCGCACGAGCGAGTGTCACTATTAATTTAACCTACATTGTGTGTTGCTGTGCGGCTGATGGCGCAGCAGGTTCTGGGATAGGGGACAGGGAACAGGGAACATGCTATATGTACAAGTATGCCTTGTATACTACTATATGTATGCGGAGAAAAAGTGCAGCAAGCTAAAACTATGACAGCGGTATTTTTCATAAATTTTTGCGCTCCGCTTTCAAGCAAGAGAAGGAAAATTTTCTAATTTGTTGGCATCGTGTGGCACACACAAAAGGCCGCCGACGATGCGGCGATGAGGCAATGAGGTGGTGTGGCGACCATGGCCCTGCACACTGGCGACGTTGAAAGATGAGCAATTAAGCGCTGAGTTATTGACAAGCGTGTGTGGAAAGGGAGTGTGTTGTTGTTGTGGAGTCTTTGAATAGAGCAAACATTGCTTACCTGCCGTGCCGCTCGATGTTGCAGCTGTGCGGGCGTATGAAGTCAGCTTGGAATAATCTGCGACTGCAACAGCAGCGTGACAAATTGCCACATGACGTTGCCATTTTTTTTTCGTAGCATGTGGCAGGTTGCAGTAAAGGTTGCAGGCATAGGACTAGGACTAGATCGAGCTCATTTGTTAGATAAGAATCGGGCAGGGCGTCAGAGCACCTTCTCCTCTGCTTATGCATATTCTAGTGTTGTATTTAAATGCACAGCTTGTTGAGCGCATCACTTTCAAGATGTGGCAGATAGATTAAGAAAAAACGAACATTCCTGTTTTAAGTCCTGCCTAAGAAACTGATCAAGTGATAAATCTTCAATCCAAACAAGCTAAAACTGCTCTATAGTCTCAACTTTATAAAGAAGTCGAGCTGGACACCAAGCGCTTGTTTTTCTCGACCTAACTAATCACAGAACCATTGCTTGTTTTGACAAAAAACAAAGAAGATTTCGTGAGTTTGCCTTTAAAACATAATCCAATGGGTATTATCTCTTAACTGTCAGCAATCTCTGTTGCTGTTGCAGTCTTCCAACTAAATGGCCAGCATGGAAATCTTAAGATATAAAGAGCGCTGACTTAAATGTTTTTGTCGCTTCAATTAGAAAGCAAGTTTTGTGCTCGCTCCCATCGCTCCCATCACTCCACTCTTGGCTCAGCTCGAATGAATCTCAATTTATGCCAGCGCCAGAGCCAAACAAAACAAAAATGCAAACGCCAAATGTGTTGCATGTTGTCTGTCAATGCCGGTTCGTTCGTGTGCCAAGTGGCAAATCGACTCGGACTGGCTTCAATGAATGCAAAGTGAATGTGCGTGACGACGACGACGACAACGATGAGGACGAAGACAACGCATTCATATACTCGAACAGCGGCCAGAATGAAGTGAGCGATGTGGACGAGTAGAGTCCAAACCCGAGAGTGAGCTAGACATTGCTATACTCTGTGCTATTTGCAGGATTCCTTTCAATATTATCTTGCGATGGAAATTCGCAGACCCGTCCATCAACATTCAAACGCCACCAGTACTATGTGACCCTCAATGAAGCTTTCATACAATTCTTATAATTGGTCTTCGGTGAATAGTTCCTACCAACTGTTTGACATCAAAGGTTGCAAGAAAATTGCAAGTAAATAGATAGAGTTTGTCCTTTTCAAAATCAGGCCGCTCATACAGACAAACAAAATAACAAATTGAGGCGAATAAAACATCTAACTAATAAAGTCTTGAAAATGCATATAAATCTATATATTCAGCAATTCCTTGCATATATAGGGTATAGAAGAAGATCCCGTTTAAGTTATGAGCACAATGCGGACGCTGTCGAGTCAGCTGCCCGGCCGCCTGCCCGGCCTGATGACTTTGTGCTTTTCATTTAACATTATTTTGCAACAATTTTGCTTAAGCAAAGGCAGCCACACACACACACACACACACACACACACACACACACACTCTCAAATGAACAGAGATAGAGGCAGAACTGAAAGACACATGCGAGCTATAGAAAGCAGCTAAGGCGAGCGCTTGTTGACGGCCTGGCTGACTGCATTGGTCGACTCGTCTCATCCCTCTGGGAGCCAGTTTCCGCTTTAATTTAACGCCGTCGTCGTCTCTTGGCAGAAAAAGAAAAGCGGGCCAACAGACAGCAGCAAAAAGCTTGGCTCTTCTCTTCCGAACCCAGAAGCGAGCCAACATCGCCAGCTGGCGCAGCAATTTAAAGCAGACGTTGCAGCAGGTGGACTAAGGCCCACCACTGAAACCCAACCCAATCCAACCCACTTCCACATCCACAACCACTTGCACGGCTCTTCAACCCACTTTTATGACATGCCTAGGCGCTTTAAGAAAATTTATTTAGTTTATGCAAAGTGTGCGGCAAAAAAGATAGGGAAGGAGGAGCAACACAAAAAAAAAAAGGTAACACAAAAGGCGGCAGATGAGCGAGCATGCCATGAAAAGGACAACTCCGTCTCCGCTTCATTTCCCGCTCCTGTTGCCTCCTGGCCTGTGTTTAGTTTGCAAATTTCTTTTGATGTCTTTTAATTTTAATGAGTTGCAATGTAGGCGTGGCGGCTACCCTAAGAAAAACTAATTAGAAGCGAAGGGTTAGCAAATGGCGCTTGAAGCAAAAGAGCGTCGTCATGAGAAGCGCAAAGAAAGGCGATAAATCTGTGCGCTGCATTGTGCGCTTGATTAAAACCAGTGTCTTATATTTATGCTATGCACAACACTATATATTTAATAAATAATTTGTTTGCGTTTTCTTTTCATTTACAGATCACACTGCCGCATGCCAGAGAGAGGAAACTGCCAACTTGTTGCTAAAAACTAAGAAATGGATACTTCTACAACAATGCCGCACACAACGCCCAGTTTGGTGGCAGCAACAACAACAACTACAACCACTACTACTATAACAACAGCAGCTAAAATGGTCTCCCGCCAGTGCCTTTCCACCACATGCTCTAATACTACTACCACTACCCGCTTCTCCCGCTCTGCCTCCCACACTCCTCGACGTCAACCGAACAATCAGCGTCGACGTTTAACCTGCCCCAGCAATTCAAAGGCCCGGCACTACGGCCTTTCGGCATTGCTTGTCGGCATCGTTTGTCTAATGCTGAAGACGCCAACAGTTGCGGCTTTCGATATTGGTAAGTATCATCCACTTGCTTTACATATAATAAACAGGTTTATGCAAGCACCTTAATTCGCGGATTCCAAATATTGAAGAGCTTTATTTGAACTTTATTCTATTCAAAATTGGAGTTATACTTTTAAATATTTAAAGACGAATTAAAAAAGAAGAAACAATTTATTGAAAACATTTCAATTAAAAAGAAAACTGAAAAGTAGCTTTTTTCATTTCAAAGCTGTCATTCAGTGGAAATAATTTTAAAAACACAACCCGACAGATTTCATGATCAGATCGGTGGAATGGTAATCGGCTCAGATTTCAAAAGATTATGGGGACTAAATCATGTCAGTAGTGATAGTATAAAAAAAATAGTAAAAACTGTAGAAAGCTTTTTCAACATTATTAACAATAACTTGTTGGTCTCAGCGTATTTGAGAACGAGAAAAGGTGGAATATATTTTATAGAAATATTTATTAATAATTACAAAAAATATCTGGGCAAAATAGACAAAAATTCTGAAAAGTATAAAGTAATGCAGTGAAAAGCCAAAATAAAATTGTTTGTATTATAAATACGATTGCTAACACAAATATAAACATATTTTAGCTCAGACAGGCAATTAAACAATTTCTCTGTCGCATTTAGCAATTTTTAAAAGCCCCATTCATTATGCTGGAATGCCGTATAAACTTAGAGAAATAGTGACTCTGATCGGTATTTATAGATACTTGTTGTGGTGTGCTTTTGAAAATTAAATAAATGAACTCAACGACCGACAGTCAAAGGTGCGCATCAATCAATTTGCTTGTGCTGCGGCTTTTCAGTCGAATAAATCACAAACAATTTTTATTTTATTTAAGTGGCACATTGACTTCCATGGCCATAGTCTTCTCAGATCTCATAGTCTTCATGAGTTCCAGCTTTAGCTTCAGCTTCGGCTTCGGCTTCATCGGCGTAGTCGACGTCGTCATTGCTTTGGAAAAATTTATTTTAATTGACATTGAAAGCAATTTTTATGTTGCTCATCATTTTTGTGCCTCAACCAGCGACAGGCGAGGCGGCACAGCAGTTGGTGGTGCCCCCAGGCTAAAGCTCCGAGTGTGCGCTCCATGGGGCGCTCGCTGCCTGGATATCATTGTGGCTTGTGTCCAGTTGGCAGACTGCTTGCAACATTCGCTTATATGGACATGGGTGGCAGTCTCTGTAGCTGTTGCTGTTGCTGTTGCCATTGCTTCTGAGGCTTCTTCCTCCGCTCATTAATGGGCATATCGGCATTTTTATGCTGCCTTTAAACTTTTGTGCTGCGAAATTTCTAAGCAGTCGTGCGGCTTACAGTAGTGTCAACGTGGCTTTAATGAAGCCATAGATGCATGCTTTAGGATTATGGGTCGATTTCAATGGCCATCGCATGTCAGCGGTTCATAAATATGACGCTGATATGTAGGTATACGAGTACTACTGGACCTGGTGGACCTGGTCGACGCCAATGGGGGAGTAGTAAAGTAAAGTGAAATGAAAACAGACGAGCCTGCTATTAAAAGACTTGCGAGGAAATCGAGGAAAGGCGGCGAATTGCGATTTATGTTTAAAGCGATGCCGAAACAAATATGCGGCAAAGCTTTGATGTTATTTTGGGAGAGGAATTTTGTGGGTTCAACATAATTCAAAATATCCATTTAAAGCAGGTTTGTTGGTATTCAGACCTTTTCATAGTTAAGTCTTTTGGCCAACACTGCTCTTTAAGTTTTCATAAACACGTACTACTATTTTATAATTAAAAAATGTACAAAAAAATATCTTAGTTATATATTTTGTACTCATACTAGTATGAAATATGCCATATGCTTGCGCTAAGAATAAAATTGTTCTTCCTTCTGCCTAACTGTTTTCAACTCTTTTTCTTTAAGATGTAGGATACTTTATCCTCAAGAAGTGGTTATTGACAAAGAATATAGAATATATTTGTCAGTTCATGTTATTGCTTTGAGTTAAGCCAAAAACTCTTCTTTCACCCACTTGGTCTAATTCGTTGTCTTGCCTCCCCGAGTTACGAGTTAAGAAATTGTCTTCAAAGAAATCAAATTCCAGTCATAATATTTATAGTTAATCAAGCAAGCCAAATACATACATAAATACAAATTTATAAACATGTCCCATGTCCCTGCCTGGTTACAAGTTGCTTGCATTTATTGCTGATGCTGCTGTTGTTGTTATTATTATTGTTGTTGTTGCTGTTGTTGCTATGCAATATTTGCACTTTACAAACGGCCGCCCCCAACACATGAGCAAACAAGCAAAGGAAGTGGTGCTTGTTGCTGTTGCTGTTCTAGACACATCGAACGAGTTGAGTTAGCAAAACATGCAACAATTTTCCAAATGAATGCACTTGCAATATGCAGTCAGCCAGTCATGCAGTCAGCTTCTGACCCAACAACTTGGCCGGCTTTACGTTTTTCCTAGCTGCTCTCAACCATGCCCGCCACGACGCACCTCGTGCCGCTGCCTCACTCAGCATTAGCATTGCAACCAATCAAATCCAATCAAGTGCGAATGCAAAGTGCTCCGCACTACTCTCAAGAGTACCATGGACTAGAAAGCTTAAATATTGACCCAAACAATTAGATGCTGTGCAATGTAAAACATCACTGATAGTTAAATCGCAGCCAAAACTGCTAAATATAGAAAGAATTTGACCCCAAAGTGAGTGAAAAAGGGTAAATGTTTGCCAAAATTTTCTTTTATTTTGTGAAATTGTGGAAATGGGTTCTAGTAGTAATAGTAATGCATAAGAACTTGTTGGTCAAGTCGAGCAGATAGAGTTTATTACAATAAATACGCTTCGAAGAAGGCAAAATGCTAAATGCTTAGAAGAAAAACCTCAACAAAATAATAGAATTTTATTTGTAAAATAAAACAAGTTTGTAAATAAATATGAAAAAAATTTTGTTTAAAATATTCCATAAAACTGTTATAGCCTGCTTTAAATTTCTTTCAATATACTTGTAGTCTCTTATCTGAAATAGTTCTGAAAACTTGCTTTTAAATTGGGAAAACATAATTTCGTCGATTATCCAGCTCTCCATTCCACAGTGCACATAGAGTTGCGCGGCTGCTGGAGCCTCGTGCGTTTTGGCCAGGTTCAATGTGTTTATTTATAAACTTCTAAACGAATGCACGCACCTTATGGCGGGCGGGCTATGGGGCTAACGATGGGGATGAGAATCAGACTGACGGCATGGGCGTTGGTGGGGCATGCTGCTGCGTTCTAGTCTTTTGCTCTCGTCCAGGCGCAGGCAACAAAAGTCATGTCTAATCAGTGTTGATTCTGGCGAAAATGTCAGCAGGCAGTCAGACAGCCTAGACAGCCGGCCAAGGAGGAGGCGCGGGCTGGCAACTCAAACTCACAATCGCCGGATCAAAGCCGCAGCCTAGAGAGCGCGATAGGAAAAATGCAATCGGTAGGCAATAAATTAAGTAAAGTAGTCGAGACGTCGTTGTTGTCGTTGTCGTCATCATCGATGCGGCGTAAAGGGTACGAAAAGCGTTGTGGATGCGGCCTGCCAGCTTGACTTTGGCAATGATTAAGTGTTTGGTTTATTATTGTATATAGTAGTATGTACTTGTATAAGGAAATAAGCGGCAGTTGCAAAAATTGTGACTCTAGATGCGCCCCCGGGAGCATGGGAAAGTGATAGGCCAGCATTTAGTTGCTACACTTGAAAACAATAATCGAAATTTGTTTAGAAAGTTGTCAGAGATAAGAGCCGTGGCTCTACTTTCTAATAAGCTTACTGTTAACTAGTTATCAGAGAGTGAAGGAGCTGAGTTCATATTGAAAAAAGTCAATATTCATGAAGTTGGAGATTAGCTTCAATTGTTAAAAACAATTCTTAGAATTTAAATTTAAAGGAGTTACTTTTTAAAAATATCAAATATTATTAATGTAAAATGAATGCATGTATAAATGAATAAAGTCATTTAATAAATATTGATGTTGAAATATTTGGAACCCCAGAATGGAAGTATAATTGTTTTAAATACATTTATATGCCCATCACTAAACCAGGAAGGAGCACAGCAGGAAAAAAATATTGTCGAGAATTATTATCTTTGTTTTAAATTGTTTATCAATTTTTAAATTAAGTTTTTCTCGTCTGAATAATTCTCATAATATATTTGCTTCGCTTGGGCTGCAAAGAAATGGTGCTTCTTTAAACTGAAAGTTTTCTCAGTTCCCCCCATATATGGGAAATTGGCAGAGAAATTGTTTGTTTTTTTCTGTCTGTAGCTCATGCTCTGATCTGGGCGTGCCGGGCAGTCATGTAAGGCAACTGGAAGACGCCAAGGAAAGAACGCCACAAACTGACGGGCCCCGGCAAATGTCAAAAAAGTCAAATTGACGCTTGACTTATTTTGATAGATTTGATGGGCGTGTTGCACTTCGCGTCGTCGTTGACGCTCAGGGTCTAAATTTATGTGGCCTGGCCTTTTTATTATAAGCACGAGTACTTGGACTGCTGGAAAAGCCATTAATTAGCGTTTGGCTTTTTGAAATTTCACATATTTTTTGTATTTGTATCTTCCACCCTAAGAGCAAAATATACTAAATGTATATTTATAATTTCTTCATTTTTTGTAGCTACTTGCAATGTGCCACTGGGCATGGAATCGGGCGCAATAACAGATGCTCAAATAACCGCAAGCTCGGCGCATGACACGGGCTTCGTTGGACCGCAACATGCAAGGTAAGTTAAGCGAAATAAGTTGAACTTATAGCGCCATAAGCGTAAATGGAAAGGGCTTATAAGAGCTTTAATATGCGGATGCCAAGCTTTAAAATTTAAAACTGAGATTATTTTCTATAACTTGGTGGAGAAAAGAGGAACTTTGGAAGACATAATAGAAAATTCCATGTAGTTTTATAAGAACTACGTTCAATAAACATTGTTGAGACTTCATTATTATCAAAGTTTTGAGGAAGTTTTGTCTTGTGATAGCTCTTGAGTTATGTATTAACTATACTTAAAGAATGATCACACCTTTCGCCTTATGTACACATTTTCATAATCAATATATCAATAATCAATCCACAATTTAATTCAAATATATACAAATAATTTGACCATGTTCGAGGTTCTGAAACATTAGAGATTCCCTCCTTCATACTCAATCTAAATCAATCGCAATCACTAACAAGCATCGCTGCTAGAAATAAAGTGCTTTCTGTGGGAATAACTTTAAAGTCAGCTTTTATGTCGCCTGACTTTATTGCGACATCTCAAGTCAAGTCAAGTCAAGTTCGTCAGAAGATCCATGGCGGCCATAAAAAAAGCTGCCGCTTCTTATCTGCCGCTTCTATTCGGCGGCGTGTTCATTTAATTGCTAATTTTATAGACAACTTCATTAGCGCGATAAGCGCAGTCAATAAAACTAAACTCGTCAATCGATTCATGAAAGAGTCAAACAACACAACAAAACAAATTTATGTTATGACACAAACAGTTGCCCCATAAAATACACACAAATATGCATATGCATACATATTTATATACGAGTATGCTTAGTATGCCCATTTATATATCGGTATGCGTCTATTTATTCGATTTTGCATATCAGTCGGACAGCGTAGAAATATTTTGTGTACTTTAGACGCCTCTTTGGACACAAAATAGTGCTGATAACATCATCGCCCGGGCGAGTTTGGTCGATGGGGAAAAATCTGTTCATGAATATGCACGGGTGCGAGGCTATTGTTGTTGATGATGATTTCCTCCGCAGCAACCGTTTAATGTGTTTGAGATATGGCAAAGAGTAGATATAGAAAAAGAGACCGCGATCTTGGCTCGGAGGCAAGCCAAGAGGCAGTCGGCAGCAACCTTTCCAACTAATTAAATGCAATTTCAATGCAAGTTGGTAGCCAAAGTAACTAAAATAAAATAAGAGACCCAAAGCGAAAACCGGTTAGTGGTTGCTGACTACAGAGCACTAGAAGTGGAAGGAAAACTAACTATATGGTCGACGGTGGGATGTCCTCTAGACGGCAGACTATAATTTCTTCTCTGTATGTGGTAGAAATTCTTCTAAAATTACAGTTTTCTAGTTTTCTAATTTAGAAAACATATTTAATTTTAATAAATATGTTAGATAAGAAATATATATAGTTAACTGATATGTTCTTGGCAATACGGTAGTTCATACAGTCGAACAGACGCGCAAAGAGATAGACGAAACAGCATTTGCCAAATAGGATCAGGAAATTGTTTTAGGCTTAAAACGTGATTGTATTTAAAGCTCCCTAAATACCTCCAATTCAATTGCTGAGATCAGGTATCAAGGCCTTAAATGCTCTATCTATATCAGATATTAAACTTTTCTAAACTTTATACGCATATTAATGATATAACACCATGTGCCAAGTATAGATACCATTACTCCACTATTCACAAAGACATCGCTGCTCGTACAGACAAACAAATGGGCGAACTGATGAGGCGAAGAAGACGCTCATCAAGCTGACCAGTAATATATGCTATAAATCGAGTCTGACAAGCCCCCTTCTGCCTTCTGTTACAAACATCCGCAACAATTCATTATGCTCTGTAAGCCTTTGGGGTATAGGGCACAGAAAAGGGCGCATAAAATTGCGGAAAATCACGACGATGGATGTGCAGAGGAAAGACCGAAGAAGTGCATTGAATTTGTGTCGACGAGGGCAGACAACTTTTTGTTTACATTTTATTGACGCGTTTTTCGTTTGAATTAAAGTTTTATGAGGTCTTCAGTTGGCGACTTACACAGGAAGTCTGGTGGTTGGTGGTTGTGATGATGTTGTTGTCGTTATTGTTGATATTGCTGTTTGCTTGTATGTGGCAATGCGGGTATATCGAGAGAGAGAAAAAGATTGGAGCGGAAGTTTTGCAATTGCCAATGATTGATGACAACATACATAAGGCAGCGGAGCCGGCAATACTATATATAACCGTAATTAGTATAAAATGTCAGACAAAAGAAGTGGTGCGAGCAACCACCCAACCACCCAACCACAAGTTCTCATACTAGAACACTCAACCCGCCCATAAACATGTCAATTACCACGTGAGTTACGGCAAAATCAATGCAAACATTAAGTAAACTTTAGAACCTGCCACAGATTCAGATTCTCTTGCCTCTCCTTTTTGTTGTAGTAGTTGTTGTAATAATTTTCTGTCTGCTTTTATAGACATGCAGCACTTAAAAAACACTCAAGTGCAGGGCTGATGCGCCAACTGAATGGCAGCAGCATGCCTAAGAAATACACAAAAACAAAAGCAACAACAACAAGTACAAGAACAGCTACTCCCCAGCATCAGAGACGACCACAAAGGCATCATTAACATTAACCCTTTATGGCGGCACTAAAGTAAAACCACAAAACGACGCGTGATGAGCACGTTGAGATAAACAAAATACATTTTTTCTCTTCATTCTGTGGTAGATTAACTGGAATTTTTACTAAAGAGCCGTACACAGACAGCCCGACAAACGGACAAACGGACAAACAGACAGACAGACAGACAAGCGGACATGCGGACAGGCAATGGGATAAACGGCCGCACTGAAAGCTAAAGACAAAAGCATTGGCATTGGGCATTGAGCACTGAGTTTGGCAGTTAATGTGCATATGTGTGTGTGTGTGTATGTGCTTTGATTTGGTTTTATTTTGTGTTTTTTTTGGACTACGGGTAGCTGCGGGTTAACCACTGCCTGGACTGGCTGGCTGGCTGGGCTGACTCAGTCACCTGAGGTCATCTTGTTGGCTATTTGTGGCTTAGTGATGGTGTGGGAAGTGGCAAGTTTGACAGCCTTAATGCCTGATGCTGATGTGATGGAGGCTTGTGAGTGAAAAGTAATTACGGGATATGAAAATAAATGAACATTTTTATTTGTTTCTGATAGGCTTTAATAAACCTAAGCTTAGAACTTTTTGTTAACAACTAAACGAATCTTTAATAGATGCGGGTGTCCTCTTTTTTAATGTAATGTCAAAGACTTTCAAGAGACAAGATATACATTTGGGAAATAGCTGATTGGTTTCTTTATAGCTCTACAAAACAATTCTGCAAAAGTTACATTAGGTTTTAATCATAAAATCATAAAATGTAGAGCCTTACTTACTATGGAAACGGTATAAAAAGTTAATAAAAGAAAATGTAAATATACCAAAGTAAGAATTCCAATAAAAATGTCAATTCTAGTTGCTGAAATTTCTATTTTCTGAGATAATATTATTTAGATATTATTTAAGCTCCTAAAAAGGTGTGCTAAGTTGTCTAAGAAAAAGTTAATGGCTGCGATCTACATTATTCAAAAATCGAGTCTATATTTATAATGCTTTTCCAACTATTGGCTATAAAGTTGGCTTCATTCAAGACTTGATCAAAAGAAGCAACCTTTTTTCACTGCCATCTTAAAGTTTTTCGTATTCATCTATCAATTATATAGACTATCCTGAAATTCTAATTAGTCCTTTGTCTTTCTAATCACACAATTGTTTGTCAGCTTAAGCCAAAGATTTCTGTTGATGCTACAAAGCCTGCAATTATGTTTGTCTTACGCAATGCATTTATGGAAGAACTCCTTAAACTGTTACACGCTTACAAAATTGCGAATTACAAACAGTTTTCCCCATCTAGCCAATAATTCTCACAGTCTCACGGACCAGCTGGCGGCCATTACTCATGGCCAGGCATTTGGCTTGGCAAAGTTCAAAAAGTGCAACCAGCATTCTAATTTGTGGCTGCCGTGCATTTACACAAGCAATTCCCCCGCCATCAGGTAGTAGTTCCCCAAACTTTAAGTAATTCATTACGAAAACATGCACTTAAAACAAATCACGCGCATTTGCTTACTGGACAAAACAAGAAACCAAAAAGAAAACAGAAAACTCGACCGACGAACTCAACCCGAGGGCCTGGACAGGATGTGAACATTCGAGGCTATGGCTATCTGGAGTTGACGTCGCGGCGACTGCGGCTATTGAATTACAAAGATTAGTTTAATGACAGTTGGAGCTGTTTGATTTTCATTACCTCGCCCTGTTCTGTTCATTCAGTTGCTAGAGCCTTGGCCGGCAGGCCATTAAATTTACAACCACTTACATATTAAAAACAGCAAAAGGCAGGCAGGCAGGCCGGCTGGTTGGCTAGCTGGCTGGCAAAAAAAAATGTAAAAAAGCAAGCAAAATGAAGAGAAAATCTCTAAGCTGCAGCGAGCGGCATTTGATTAGAAGTCCGCCCAGCCGCCTCGATGGGAAGCCAGTTAGGCCAGCCAGTCAGTTAGTCAGTCCATCAGTTGGTTTGAAATGAGCAGCAGCCGCTGTCGACGATGGCGCAGATTGTTAACTTTGGCAATAACAATAATTAAAGTCAAGTTGAAATGCACATAACTGCGGATATTAGCATTTTAAATGATGTTTATACGTTTCTCTTCATCTTTTTTCCTGCCTTTGGGTTATTTGCTTTTCGAGTGGACTTCTTCTTGGGCAGCAGACGCGCCAAGACCCCAGCAATTTTATGAAGATTAAATTGACCTTTTTTCGCTTTTGTAGCCAAGGCTTTACTGCGAGTAGAGTAAAGGAAGTGCGTGGCTCATTTTAATAAAGTAACTTTGATCTATGCACTTGAGCATAATTGCAGCTGGTAATGAATATTGCAATGGTGCGAGAAAATAGAGAAACTTCAGCGTTTAGCTAACCTGAAATGCTGAACGTGTTTGTCCTTACATTGTGAACAATAAGGCAATAACAATGGTCAAGATTTAAGCCAAAAAGGAACTTCTTTTGAGTTACATGACGATATTGCAATAGATTATTGAATTTATTTGAATTTCAATTACTTTTGCGTAGATGCTGTTAGCCAAATTTAGTAAAGCGTCAGATTTTCATGTCAGAAGCCAACTGTGTCTCCTACAGCAATTATTAGCGACTAAGAAAATATAATAGAATATGAAATACCTACTTTATTAAATATATTTTGCAATTCTTTTTATACTGAGGTATTTTACTAGAGACTTCTCGAGTTGTAAAAACCATAGAGAGTTCCAATTGATTGATGTTCAAAGGCTGTTAAGTACCATGAAATATATGGCAATACCATCTCAAGATCCTCAATTATGCAGAATTATAAATACGAACTGAAGTCTGAGTCGTTCAACATTTTGTTCCTGTAGGTGCACCTTAAATACTTTCCTTGTTTCTTCTAAACTAAAAAACCATGCACTCTCCTAATCGATGGTAGTTAGAAACCATAAGTCAATGGTGAAAGGAGAGCGTTAACGATTCAAGAACAAAGTGGTGCTCCAATTCAGATAGAATAATCCACCATAGTTGACAAAATGGATGGTGTGAACTCAATTAGAAAGGGGTAAAATATTACTCCACTTATCTGCAATCGACCGACATGTAAATGCAAATATATGCAGCTATAAAGCAAACATGTTCATTCTTATCACATCAATTTCCACTCCATTTGCTTCAAAAGCTCCTCTTCCACATACCCGATATAGTATATGTCTATATGTGTGCATATGCAAAACATTACTAATTGCAGTCATTGCACACATTACAGCCACTACTCTCATAAAAATTAATAACAAATTGCAAAAATGCATTAAACGCATGTCGGCTACTAAATAAATATTGCAATCAAATTCAATAACCTGCTGTTCGAAGCAGCAGCTGGCAGGCAACAAAATGAAGCAATTTGCTAGCGTGATAGGGGATGGAGAGGGGGAGGGAAGGGGGAAGCAACAGCATCGTAGACAGGGGCCTAAAGAAACCAAGCATGAGTAATGGCTAAACATTAGGCCCAAAAGCCATTGCCAGGCAAAAAGATTGTGACGTTGAATGTACTCCTTAGTGCTTCGAAGCAGCAGCAGCCACACAGCAAAATGCAATCAAGCATGTAAGACTTAATTGAAATATAAACCGAAAAACGTATTTGTAGTAGTTAACATATCAATACGTACTATGCAGAAGGAGGCGCCCAAGCGAGGGCTCCACAAGAGATGTGCACGTGATAGTGACAACTGAATTGCAACCATCTTGTCAGAGAATTAAGAATTTTCTTTGCACTTTAATGGCTGGGTTTTAAATTTCCTTTAATAAATAAATAGAATAAAAATAGATATCCCAAAAGAATCCAAGCATCAAAAATACAATTCAAAAATTCCGATTTTTCAGACAATAAATGCAGTCTAATTTCCCACTCGTGAGATTGAATTTTCCCCAACCACTTTTTATTGCTAGGCTGCACTGTAAAAGGAAACTCTCTCTGTCAGTTTAAACTATTTTGTATACTTGTATATAAAAATACTATATAGCCACCAATTTGCCATTATTTTGTCATATATTCAGGGATTTAACAATTGAAAAATCGTAAGAAATTTTGGAGATGTCTGCTAATTTTTTTTGTAACAAAATTGGATGTACTAATGGCTTAAATTCTCGTTTAAATAAAACATAGAATTGCAGAGAATTAAGATTTTGCAAAACTTCTATCGATTTAGTAATTCTTAGTAGTTCTTTAGTAATTCGATTCTCATCTAAAGCCTTAGAGACTTATCAATATCTTTCGTGAAATAGTTGCGCACATCTCTAGGGCGAAATTCATTTAAGCAAGCAGTTGGAGGTGGTGGTGACGGTGGCAATGGTCTGTGTATAACTTAAATTAATCCTTAATTACATAGACAACATCCTGCTGTGCCTTGGCCAAAGTCTAAAACCGCAACAGCTTAACGAACAAGACATGCTGCCAGACGGGCTACCAAAGCCTGTGGCTGCCATCCCATCTCCTCGCTCAGCAAGTTGCCACAAATGTCGGTGGTGCTGGTGCCGCCGCAGTCGCAGTCGTTGGCGCTGGCGCTGTGTGGTGCCAACGCTTAATGTCAATTAATTTATAAAAATTTCTCGACAGTTTGACTGGCGGCATCGGCTATACGTTCGGCCACACGGCGTATGCGCAACTGGTTCCTTGCTTAGCAGCTACCGATATATAGTATCGCGTCGTACCCCCCAAAGTCCTGGCTAATTAATAAAGTCGTCTATGAACATTTTTCTTCGCTTGCAGACTGAAAACCGATAATAATGGCGGCGCCTGGTGTCCCAAACACATGGTCTCCAATGCACTGAAGGAATATCTACAGGTTGATTTGCAGCAGACACACGTGATCACCGCTATACGCACGCAGGGTCGCTTTGGCAAAGGTCAGGGTCAGGAGTACACCGAGGCCTATGTGCTTGAATATTGGCGACCGGGCTTTGACAAATGGCAGCGCTGGAAGAACACACAAGGCAAGGAGGTAAGTAACAACAACAACAAAATAAATAAAAATAAAATACTGAAGGTGCAGTCCAGTCCGCACACCAAGCAACAAATTCAAAATTGCTTGCAGTCCCGCAACTGAGCATTTAAAGAAAATTAATATAAATATGCCTGCAGCTATGTAGAATGAACGATATAATGCGAGAAGTTAAACAACAGGCCTATAAATTATGACAAGTTAAGGCAGTCTACAGTAGAGATAGCATAAGACAGACAACTTTAGCTTTTGCCAAAAGACATTGTGGAAGCTGAGAATAAATCTTCTATTGACCTTCAATTAAAAACTTTAATTTTGAGCTCATTGCAAAATCATAAACAGAATGATTAAATGGAGAATAAAAATATATATAGCTTGGATTAAATGTGTAATTGGTACAATTTAAAGTTGACATATGCAAACAAATTCTAAAGAAGTTTCTTAAAATATTTTTGATTTGAACTATTATTACTTCCGATTCGCTTTTAAACATTAAAAAGTCAACTTATCTGGAAAGATTTTGCAAATATTTTTGCAAATTGTTCACCACAGTTAACAGTTCCTGGTGAATGTAATACAAAATTGTATTTTTGTTCGATTAAAATAAATTTTCTTTTGTTGCTTAGTGTAATAAAAACTTAATGTAACCCATTCACTAACACGCCAAATTCTTCTTCTCTCCTCCCCTCTCTCCCTCTCTCCACTCACAGATACTGTCGGGCAACATAAACACATACAGCGAAGTGGAGAATGCATTGCAACCGATTATTTTTGCATCAAAAATTCGCATATATCCGTATGGACAGTACGATCGGACCGTCTGCCTGCGCGCCGAGATCGTCGGCTGTCCCTGGGAAGGTAAGTCGCTGCTGCCAATTTAAACAGGCGCGATAAAAACTCGACATGAGCAATGATAGTGTGGAAAGGTTTACAGAGTTTTAGTGTCAGCGTTAATTTATCATCGCCAGGCCATAGGCGGTGGTGCACGGTGTAAGGAGTTTTGGTCCGGGCCTAGCCCGCTATTAGACAAGGCAAAGCGGCTTAAGTGTGTAGTTAGTGGCTGTCCGATCGGCTTTATGGCTAACATACGCGATAGTGTGGTGCAAGTTCATTTTGCAACATGCCTGGCGTCTTAACAAGGTATGCAGCAAGAAATAAAAAAAGACAAACAAAAAAGAAAACAAACTGCGCTTAGATAAATTTGAAGAAAATCTTACAGAAGCTCTTCAAAGGCAAGAACATGTTATTATGTGGGCAAGTGTTGATACTCCTATTTATTTTTCAATGAGGCTAAATTCAAGAATTTTATTCATTTTTCTTTCAAGTTTAATTATTCTCCGCAATTTTTCGCTCTAATTGGCTTCTAAAATGGCGTAATTCTTTTCTTTTCTTTTTTTCTTTAGAAAACAGTTGAATTACTCGTATATTAACAAGATTTATTCTAATCACGCCATTAGGATGTCATTGTATTGCCCATTTCACAATACTTTCTACTGAAACATTTTACTCCCCATTACTCGTACAAGTTTCCACTCCAATAATGCCATACCCTTGCAACATTGCAACAAAGTGCTGAACATTTTCTAACACATGCTCTCTGTGGCATGAAAAAATAATCCTCATATGAGCCACGCAACCGACTTGTTTTCTTTGCACGTGTGTGTGTGTGTGTTTCTGTGTGCAACATGCAAAATGTACTTGAAAAATATCGCGTGCAGACATTGGCAACAAATCCAACAATCCAAGCTGCAGAGACGACAAGCGGCAACAAACTATGCAGACGACAACGAGAAACAGCAAACAACTTGGTCGCCTGGCTTTTCGCTAAAATGCTGCCTCTTTTGTGATCAAAACGAGCTAGGAAAAAGCTAAAATTTGAAATCGCTTGCCAAATAAATAAATAATAGATAACTATTTTTCGTACAGCTTGTTTGTTATTCTTAAACACATATATTTATTTAAAGTTATCCTCCGTTGAACCAGTACTGATTTAAAAATTATTGGTCAATATTTTCTAGAGGAATTGCATTTTGAAAATGTTATTTTATTTTAATTTTGAAAATAGTAGTGAAAATAGTAGGGAATTATTTACTACTTAGATATGGTTTATTATTACTTATCTGGAGAACTGGAAATATTAAGATGCACAATACTATTTACATTCTTATTTTTAAAATATCAGAATCATATATATATATATATCTTCAGCTTTTTTAAATAAAATTAAATTAGTAAATAGTTCTTCCAATTTGTAATACTATTCAAGTCTCGAATTTGAAAAATTATTGAGGTTTTCTTAACATTAAAACAATTTTCGCTGCTAAAATGAAATATCAGACAGGAAGTTTGTTTTAACTTAAAACTTATATTATCGTATTCGAAAAATATATATGATATGAGTGGCAACATTTTACAAATCGAATATTAGTTTCTATGAAAGGTAATGCTTCGGCTAAGTGGAGATAGTTTCAATCTTTCATTTAAATTTTTCAAATAAATATATATCGAAGGGCCCACCTAAAAATCGTTATAGTGACATCACTGAGCGACTGTTGACTGCTTGTGCTTGGGTTTTTGTTGCTTGACTTTGTCGTTGTCGTTGTCGCCGTCGTCGTCGCCGATGTTTGCACGCAATTGTCAAGTAGTGCGGGCCAAACAAGTCTGGCTAAACAAATTTTTATATAATTTCTGCCTGGCCAGGTACGCGATAACAACAGCAACTACAAATACAACTACAGCTCGCCAGCTATAGAACATTAAGAACAGAACGCGCCTAATGACAATTTGTTTGACCAGACCAACAGCGAATGGCCCACTGGGGGATTTGCACGGAAGTCGAAATTATTCCGTAAATTAACGCAACGTATGCTTAGTTTGCAGTTCCCCAGACCCCGTCCTTCCCCCCTCACCTCTAGACCAACCAACAGGCTGATAAGTGGCGCCGTGGATCACAAACTATGCACACACACATACCCTTGTTCTGGTTTTGGGGTTAGACATGCAAACTGACTGACGACTGTGGCAGAGGAGGAGGAGGAGAAGGAGGGGGAGGAGGGATCAGGCTGGCCACTAATGGGGGGTCCCCGGCATTTTGTGGGCATGTCATTTGATTTGCCATGGGGCATTTGTACACAACATAGCGCATTTCATATGCAAATTAAACGAGATAAGCTGCGGGGGCTGCGCTGTCCGTTAAGGTGGGTGGGTGGCTGGCTGGCTGGCTGGTTGGCTGACTCTCTAAACCAGCAGACAGGTCTAGACGAACCACAGACGGCGCTTGCTGAAAATCAATAAAAAGAAGACAAATACAAGTTTTCTAGCCTTCTGTTATTTTTATTCTTTTTTTGAGGAAAAGTTATGAGCACAATGACAATCAGAAATTCGACAAATTTTTGTGTTTTTTGTTTTGTTTTTTATAGCACATTAATCTTGTGGATGCGCAGCGCCAAGAAATTTAGTCCAAAATCATAATTGTTTATAAATTGTGGCCATAAATTCAGCCACCGGCAAGCCAAGTCAGTCTAGCTGCGAGCATTTAAATGCAAATCAATGGCCACACCTATATGGAAAATCAGACGACGCCAAGCTCGTCACACCCAATGTTGGGCAAGCGAGTTGATTCGATTCGATCCGATCCGAGCCGGGTCGAGTCGCCTTCGACGCTTGACTGGAAGCGCCGTCGCAATCATAAACAAATGGGTTTTAATAGTGCAGCGTCGTGTGTGGGGGGAAGGGAGGGGGGAACTAGATAGACGCCTCGGTCACGTCATGACGCAGATTATCTCTAGGGCAAGTGACACACTCTGATTTCGTAGAGCTAAACACAAATTTGTTACGATTTAACAACAGCTAAGCCCTTGGAATTGGAATTGGCTTAATGTATGCAGACTCGTATGCTAAAGTGCATTTTATAAATGCAACTGATTAGTGCTGAGCTTCGATTTATGGGCACAAATGTGACTAATTTATGACTCGAAACGCCATAGCCCCCCATTGAAACCCAATGCGAGTTAGTTATAGTTCGATTCGGCATTTTGTGTACTCGTATTGTTGAAAGCGGTGGCATTTGAGCTGCTGCTGCTGTAAACCTAAAGGTGGGCCATGGAAAATTGAAAGTCCAACTTTTGAGTGGGTGCACTCGGTAGTTGTGTAAAGCTGTAAATGCGGAACATACCAACCAAAACTTTTTAATCAGTGTAGCTTAAGAGTTAGGCGCATTCGAAAAGCTGGTGATCCCTTGCCATAAATGCTTTAATTACTGGCATGCCAAGGGGCAATTATTATACCAAATATGAATATATGATTGGTAATCCCAGCTTATACATGAATGGATTTTTAAAGGCTGACCTTTTATGAAGCAAATTAATGCCGATTGTTATTTAAAAGGGAAAGTTTAAAATATGAAGACTTATTTGAAGGCGTTCACTAATCTATATATGTATAATAGTTAAATATATTTAAATATATGCCAAGGATAACTTTGTTGCATTAAAGCAATCACACAACTGGTGATGCTTTTTTTCAGCCCCTCATTGGGCGCCACTTTGTTACATTTAAAGTGTGCAGCGCTTCTATTAAGATATCTGAACTTGTTAGAAGAGTAATCTCCTAGCTAAGCAGTAACATCTGTAGCCGCATCAATCTAATGATGGGCGAAATGGGCATTGGTATTAAATAAAGTGGTGTGTGCTTTGTGCAAACCCAAAACTCAATCAGCCCCAACTCACGGCTCCACTTAGGGAAGCAGTTTACTTTAACTTTATCTGCGTGCCCGCCTGCCCTGCTCTGGTTCATTACAACAGTCGCTCGATTTGACTCATCAACGGGAGCAGCAGCAGCAGGAGAAAACCGCATCATCGTCGCCCCCTTTTGCCCTCCATATCTTTCATCGTCTGTTCTCGGTTCTCGGTCGTCTGTCGCTGTCGCTGTCATTGTCAATGCCTTGCGTGACATCCATGCACGGCGGCAAGAAGGAAGCAAATTAAATTTTATATGCTTGTACTGTCTGTGCGCGCCAGTTTTTCGGTTCTTTCTGGCTTAACCAATGCAACTGTTTTCCTCTCTGCACGCACTCGCGACTCCTTGTTGGTCTCTTTACGAGTATATGCACAGACACCCGGACTTACACTTATGTATGTGCGCGAGTGTATTCCCCATTTTTGGCAGGCCCCATTTTGTCCCGACACGCAAATAAAAATCGCATGCGAACACGCGAATAACAAGCAGAAATGGCGCGCTTACATAAAAATGAACTGAGCCGGACTGAGGAATGGGTAGTGATTCAATACGGGTTAAGGAGTAGGCAATGGCCTGCTGTTCGTACTCCAACGATTGTGTGGGAGGGGTGGGGGGGAGGGGGGAGGAGGACACATGTGGAGTTGCCAGGGCTGGGCATATATTGCGTGAACTTTCCGTCGCGACGCAATTGTAAAAACGACGGCCTTAAATGCCTTAGCAGTTAATTAAATGCGCTACTTATTTGTGTTGTCATTGTCGCTGTTATGTGTATGTGTGAGCGTATGTGTGTGTGAGGGCTTATCTCTGGTAGCATCAGATCGCCCAGCTACTTTTTATAACTGCCTTCACACGCCGTGCTCGTAATGCATATAATTAAGCAGACCTGCCTACACACTTCACTGGCCGTTCGGCTCTCCCTTGCCATTGTTGTTGATGCATTAAATAATAATTAATATTTTTATTTTCGTGTGCTATGCCACCAGCAGCCTCTTCATTCAAATGTGATCAATAGCTGTCACTGGTCAGGCGCACGCTTCTCCACATACCAGGCTTATAAATGCCAGCCACTACCTTTCATTTGCAATCTAAATGTGGCACACGTCTCATGTCTGCTGCCTCCTCACTCCTACTCCTCCCCCTACCACAATCCCTTCATAATTATCTATGCCCAATGCGTCGCAGGCGATTTCGATTTTGGGCTTGAGCTTGGGGGGCTCTGTTTGCTGTTCTGCCCACCTACATAGTAATTATATGTAATTATGTGATTTTGGGTAATTATTGGAAAATTTCTTTGACTGACTGTCCTGTCCTGCACGCGTGCTTCTGTGTGTCCTGTTTTTCCTACATTGTGTAAATAAAATGTTAGTGAATCAGTAAAACGCACGAGCGACCACCAGCTATCCAACGATCCACATGCATTAGGCCCGGGGTTTGTAATTATTTTGAGTGCCTGGCCTGGCAAAACACTATTTGTGCTTAATGTCGCTGTTGTTTTTAGTTGCTGCTGCCTGCTGCCGTCTGCCTCTGTTTTCGATCTAATGCAATTGTTTTGTATTTGTCTGTGTGCTTAGTCGCAATAATTAGCCGGTGTGCAGGTGTTGTTTGTTTTAGACAGACAATTTGTTTAGCTTACTGCATGTAATGGAGACAGTGTTTGTGACAGATGTTTTAAGAGCTGACCCGAAGGCAGCTTCGCTTCGCTCCCTACACTTTCTACACTAGCACATACTTTTCAAAGTCAGACACAAATCCATGACTCAATACTCCCTTTGACTTTGACATTGAAAAACTGTAGCACACATTGCCAGTTACAGAAACTAAAGCCGACCGCCCCACCCCAATCCTCTGAAAAACTTTGCTAAAAATAACCACAAAAACCAACTGGGAAGACAAAGAGAAAAGTGCCTGCAAAACGAAATTATGTTTCAAGTAACTCAATATCCTGCCACTGCCAAAGTTGTCGGCTAACCCCAGGCAACAACAGCACAGGGAAAACTTTAAATTTACCGCAGTTTAAAAACACTCACACCCAAAAACAAAGCCATTGGGAGCATAAAAACAACAACAAACAGTTTGTCAGTCGTTTGTCTGCGTCACCGAACCGGGCAGAACACGGCAATGACACGTGAGTGTGTGCGACGTGTAGGCGATGTCTCGTGTTACCAGAGGGTCGATCAATGTGTGCTGCACTCTTTTCCAGGAATGTCTCTCCAAATATGCATATATATAGTACGTTTGTAAATGCTTCTCACTAACAATATGTTTACATTTTTTGTTCCTATTTTTACAGAGGGCATTGTTTCGTACAGCATACCGAAGGGCGTACAACGCGGCATGGAAGTGGACCTGTCGGACAAGACATACGATGGCAATGAGCAGGGCGATCGCTATGTCGATGGTCTGGGTCAATTGGTGGATGGCCAAAAGGGCAAAGATAATTTCCGCACGGACATACACGGATTTGGCAAAGGTGAGTACAAACTGCTTCTCTGGAAGTGCAAAGCGGCATTTTGAGAAATCTAACTGACCGCAAGTAGAGCTTTTCTCTGCGCCCCAAACTGGGCGCCACTTCGTCCTCAATTATTAAGGCACCCTTTAATTGCCAACAATATAAAAGTAACTAAACTGAAAGTAAAAGAGCCAGTCCTCATAATTTGTGGGCCCCGCAGTGGGCGCCTATTTGACTGCAGCATCCTTTGAAAAGACTTTAACCCTCGAAAACAATAACTTTTGCGCATATATTTTGCATGTCAAGGCACTTCGTAAAGCTTTCCCTTTAGCCCACAAGATTTATGGCAACAGAGCAAACTGATTAACATCAAATAATTACAAAAGTTCATCGCCTGCGCCCCCAAACCGTGCGCTTCGCCGGCAGAAAAAAGCATAAGGCCCCGGCTACCTAAACTTTCGGGCATGCACAGCAGTGGCGTTCACTTCATTGAACATTGAAAATGCCGACCGGGCCAAAAGTTTTTGCTGGCAAATAATTTGCCTCAACAATAAACAAAATAAATAATAACTTCGACTATTTGCTGGGGAGGAGCCGCTCTCCCACCCCACACTTCCAAGCCAGAGGCACAGTAAACCTACCCGGAATTCAACTATGCGACGGAACAGTCGAGACGCCGTCTTGCTGTAAAAATGTAAACATTATGCATATTTGATAATTTATGGCAACACTGGCATTCATTTCCGCCCCAAAACGGGCAAAGTCCGAAGCAACTTCTTCTTTTTTTCGCCAATTCGTTTGCAACGCATTTTCAGTCTGGCAAATGGCCAATAATCGAAATTATTGAAAAGTTTGCAATGCGAAATTTAAGTAGAAAAGTTCGCAATCGGAGCGAAGGGCAGGCACATGAGTGAGTGAGACAATTAGACATGCAGTCGGCGTCCAGAGCCAGACAGACAAAGGACGACGACTACGACAGTTGAGCTCATAAAAACCTTTGGCCAAGTTTGCCGCCGAAATGACGCGCAATATGACGTTGCAGGCAAAAAGTTTTCGAATGGCCCCCAAACCCATGATTTCGATTCAAACTGCCAGTTATTGCCATTGCTGCCTCTTTTACGATTATTATTATTATTATTATGCGCGTATTTTCGGCTTATTTGCATGGTAGCTGAATCGATATTGGCCATGGACTCTGAACTGTTTGACTTCCAATGAGCTCTATTGATTTTGCTCCATAGAAACTAACCCCCGAAAAGGCCAACATCTCCAGCTGCCCACGCCCCCACGTTTTTTGGGGGGAAATTGTGTAATTTGTGCTTTGCTACTTGTTTGCGGGCCAACCAGTTAATATTGCATGACCTGTGAGGCGACTTAAATATTTCCTGCTTACGACGAATCGTACCTATTTTTAGCCCTAAGCTGCTCACGTAAAAGGGACGTCCCCCCAAATTAGGGAAATTGCCGCACTGCCCCGCTAAACAAACAGCAGAATAGCAGCAGCAGCAGCAGCGGCAGCATAAGTACAGAAAAAATGGCTTAAATGTCGCGTTACTGGCCATAATTTCTAGTTATGAGCAGTCAGCTAGTAGCTAGCAGCAAAAGGAGGGCCGGTGGGTGACTAGGGCCTTCCTGCCGTGAGCTTTGTTTGTTTTTGGCTGCAACCCCCATTGCCCATCGGACTAACTCGGAAACTGACTGCAGTGCATGGGTATGCGACCTGCGGTCGTCGCCTCTAGGCTTAAAGAGCTCAACATGCCAACACATATTGCTGCAGCATATGTGTGCGAGTGTTTGGACTATTGATTTTTTCTAAGCATACACATATATATTTATATAAGTATGACAGCAGCACTACCCTCAACCGACAACCAACAAGCCACAACCCCCAGACCCCAACAAACTAAATGCCTTCACATTTTATTTCAGGTTATGAATGGATTGGTTGGCGCAACGACACGCCCGGCCTCCTAGGCAAACCCGTTGAAATTGTGTTCGAATTCGATACGGTTCGCAATTTCAGCGCCATCGTTTTGCATACAAACAATATGTATACCAAGGATGTGCAGGTGAGTGAGCAAAAGCGTACCGGGAATCCATGTAGAAACTTGATATAGTTACTAAATGGTATAGGGAGTGCCATGGAAACAATTGTTATAAGTTGCGAGGAGAGGCTAATATTGCTTATTTCTTCAAAATCCATTACCGAAAATTATATCTCCATATATTCATGATAGCTGGCTCCCAAAGTGAACAGTGATGTTTAGAAAATAATTTTTTTTTGCCGGCCAATACATACTGCTTGTTGTAGAAGAATAAGTGTTTAACATTTTTGTGTAGAATGTGAATCTACCTTAACAGATTGTTGTTAAGATAAGGAATTAACCTATAAATAGAAATACTATAAATTGCACAATTGTCGAGGAATTTCAATAGATGATCAATATATGATAAAAGTGGAATTACTTGTTCAAACATTTTTCAAAACATTCTATCTTTGATATTTTAAAAGTATGATCTTCTTTTAAATTCTGCAATCATTTAAAGGTTTAAATTCATTTCGCGCGAAAATTTAAAACTGGGCCTCTAGATTATATTAGAGCACTACTTTTTATTACCACTTACAATTATGTGTTCTTTTTGGAGTGCCACATGAATTGTTTTGAAAAATTATGTAAATTTTTGAAGCAAAAGTTCCAGCATATATTTACTGTGAATGGAAAAACCTTTTACTTTTCTAACCCTTATAGGTGGTCCTACCACTTAATCTTATTTATTTTGAAAGAAATTTTTTATAACGTTCATATCAAATCTGAATCTTATTTACTTTCAAACCAATTTTTTATAACTTTCATATCCAATCGAACAGGCATTTTCACAACTTTTGATGAGTTATTCATTTATATAGAATTGTATGGCTTTTTATTAAAATATATTTGCCATTTACAGGTCTTTGTGCACGCCAAGGTCTTCTTTAGCATTGGCGGACGTTACTTCTCCGGGGAGCCTGTTCAATTCTCCTACATGCCCGATACCATAATGGACCATGCACGCGATGTGACCATCAAATTGCATCATCGTGTGGGCAAATATTTGAAAATCAATTTGTATTTTGCTGTCAAATGGATTATGCTGTCGGAGATCAGTTTTATATCCGGTAAGTCGTAGCATATAAAATGCATAAAAATTGCTCTGAAAAATTGCCAGAAAATTGCATTGACAAAACGATGGGAGAAGAGAGAAAAAAATGGAAAAAATTGAAAAAATTCACATGGCAAAGTACGTACAAATGCATTTTTCAGCTTCATTTCACTTTCAAGTATGTGACACTCCAATACAAAATGCAATGCATTACACTTAACATGCCCAAGATGCGGCACAAAACATTTTCCAACATTTGGCTAACAACAATGGGACAGGCGAGATAAACGTTGTCAGAGAGGAAGAGAGAGGGAGAAAGAGAGAGAGAAGACCTCTTTAGTGAAATTTGTGTAACACGCACGTAGTAAACATGTTGGTTTCTTGGTTAAGGGAGGAGCCAGGAATGGGATGGATGGGTAGTCAATAAAATACCCAAAGCATTGCCAGAGCGCTATACAAAACCGGAATGACAGAGGCAGACTTAGTGCTAAAGTAAACAAAAATCTCGGGCTCAAGGGTAGTTGGCAGAGATCTTTACCCCCCCTGCACTACACAGCATTCCTGCCGCTATGGATATCCCCTACACATTATCCATTGAATGAGGCGGCAGGCCAAGCATGCGATGCATTTTCCAGCTACATTTCCTATGAATGCCGAGCGTGCCTCTGCCGTGGCCGCCTGACATGCAAGGCCCGATTAAATTGTACCAAGTGCAATGCGAACTAGGATTTGGGCATTGGGATTTCCGTCGTCTCGATATGCATTCGCATACTGGCAACTACTTAGACAACAACAACAACGACAACGACAACATAGAATATATTCATGGCATGTTTGTTGCCCCGTAGGGGTAGAAAATTACTTACTGGGCGACAACGCTGTTAACATTTCTGTTAAAAGTCCAGTTAGGATGATCGACACGCCGGTCACTGAACCATCCGATCATTTATATTCATTGTATTTGGGGATGATTGTAAATCGAGTCAAATCTTTATGCCTTGTTTTGTTTGCTGCGGTAGGTGTGAAAAGCGCGAGGGGAAAAACTGCCAGACCCATTTGATTGATGAGTCAAATAGAGCGTGCCCTATGAATAGGGATTTGTTTGCAGATGGCAGCAGATACTGGACGAGGAGGGCTGGGGATGTGCGTTCGTTTAATAGTTTCATAAAGGAAGTTGCCTATAAATCTGTATATCTGTTGGGATTAAATAGTTCAATTGAATGTGCATGTGCGCGTAAGAAAGTGGGTTGAACCATGACTGGAAGAACAGCACAGATTGGAATAAAGTTTGGCACCCTTCTCAGCTCTTAGGGGAATAATTTCGCAGAGATTTTTATTTTTAATTGTTCTAACACAATATTGGTTTAAACCTTAAATAAATATTCTTTGAGCATAGTTTGAAGTCAAGCAAATATAATGCCATTCATGAGTTTTATATTCCCATCTCCAATTCAGAACAAAATAAATTAAAATTAAGAGTAGAGTAAGAAATCAAAAATCTATGTGAATCAATTGATTATTTCCACGGCTTTGTGTTCTCTATACATCATCTCTATATACTCTACATTAAAGCAGACGTACAAAAAATGATCTTTAAATGTAGAAATAATCTGTTATAATCTCTGTTCGCTTATTGCTTTCTCATCTTGAAAACCCTTGCGACGAATTGTCAAGAAGAATGCGACTAAGAAGGTTAGGATTAAGATATCAGAAATAAGTTGCAGATCACTGAACAGCGGTGAGAGAACGCTTCTCAAGCATGACAAAGCTGTAATAATAGCCGGGTATTGTTAGTTGTGTTGGTTTGTGTGTGTGACACAATACCGAGCGGTTCAAGGATATCAAACAAACCACAAAAAATGCCGAACCACATGCTGCACTTTCGCTGCATTCGAGCAGGGACAGGGGAAGGAATGAATTCCTAGCCACAGGCAGGCAGCAATTACACGACAAGAAACGCATTTGTCACGCACCAGAGTTGTAGCTGAAACAGCTGTTTTGGTTTTCGTTTTTTTTCGGTGTCAAGGCGCACTCAAGAGTTGAGAAAAATATATATATATATATACAGAGACTCTGTAGAGGCCGTAGCGACGACCCCAGCTACCTCAGCTACCACACGCTGAGGCAACTAAAAAATCTAGGGTAAGGGTAAACAAAAGAAACGCACGTACTGTGCACAGCATCTTTCAAGTGTATGCGTATATTTTTATCAGGCAGTGTAGAGATTTAACCCCAATTTGTGAGATTTGCTTGCGCTGATTGCTGTTGTGCTTTATGGAGTTATATTTATATTTTAAAGGCTTTTGAAAAATACGAGTACAAAAGCAAACCACAGAAGGAAAAAAGGAGGACAAACACAATGCCCGACCCTGGGACTTTACAAAGCGAATTAGTTATAAAAGGCACATGATGACAACAAAGCAAAAGACACGCCAAAATAATAAATGCAATGATAAAAGGATATGCGGCATATTTCCCATTACCACTACCAACGATTTCTTTCCCCTTTCCTTTATTTCTGTGCGTCTGTGATAAATGTGGCACGAAATATTTTAATTATTTTAAACGTTTTATGACGACCACAGAGAGATGCGAGATATCCTTTTTTATATATATACACGTAAGTAAGTAGGCATGGGAGGAAGCGCCAGAGTGAGAGACGAAGGAAAAAACACGACACAACCGAGTGCCAACAATAAGAGGACAATGGCAATGTCGAAACAAAAGACTGCACAACTTTCACAGGCATGCCATTCCCATCATCATCATCCTTCTCAACGTCGCGTCGCCGTTGCCTGGACACCCGTCCTGGGGCTTGCATTGCTGAAGAAACTCAACGCTAAGGGGTCTGAGAGAGTGCCTAAGAATGCGACATAACTCAAAACAGCAGCCAAGGCAGCCAGCCAGCCAGCCAGCCAACCAACCAGCCAGCAGTTTTGCCAGCAACTTCACACAATAATTACGCCATTTACGGTCTAGAAATGGGGTCACCCACTCAACGCTCTGGCTAGCCGGGAGCATTTCGACTCAAGAGGGAGAGGAATGCTTAAAAAAGCTGCCCATACCATCCTATTTTTGTTTTGTTATGCCCTCAAGATGTTAGCAAAATAAATGACAACACTTGGACGGACCCAGTGCCATATGTTGTAGTTAGGTAGCATATCCTCATTGCTTGACGGGGTGGTATGATGGGGAAGACAAGCCATAAGCTGGCTATTACAGATCAAAGTGAAAGCTTGATGACTGAATTCAATGAGCAGGTGTTGGTGGTGTACGTAGAAAAGCCATAGCCCCTGGCTAAGGGTTGCCAAGCCTAAGCTAATAAGCAGCATTATGGGCGCATTTGTCAGAGGCCTGTGGGAAATCAATAGAAATTCCAAACTAAACAAACGGAATTTTGGATAAACTTAAAGACACCCTAAAACTGGGCAGAGTTCTACTGATTTCAAATACTATTGTACCCCTCTTACAACATCTTTCTATTATAATGCACTATCTAGATTTAAATATGTGCCTTACACACTATCATAACTAAAGATCTATACGGTATTTTTGTGTATATTAAGCGCTTCACACAAGCTTGAGCACTCCGAAAACTATAAGTAAAAGTTGGGCAGCGTCATCCCAAGCCATAACTATTATAATATGCCATTTCTAATGATATATGGGTTTACCAAATTGCATAAAATCATTAGAAATGCATGCATATTCAAAAGGCGCGCACACCACGTGCTGTAAACAAAAGCCTAGCTTGCCACTCAAAATTATGCAGCGCCCATAAAGAAATCCGACATCTGTATATATTTAGTTATGCCCACGTTCCCAACGCCGATTTAGAGCGTCTTCAAAGCGCAACAGCAGTTGACAGGAAATGAACACGTTAGACGACATACCCGACTGAAGGGTGCCACAGACTTACGAGTCTGTATGCGTGTGTAGGTAATGGTAGCGAGCGACCCACTAAAGAAAGCGTAGCGAAACAATTTAAAGTGGAACGAAAGGTGTAAAGAGCAGAAAAAATAGAAATGTAAAGAAGTAGGAAAAAACTAATCATTGAAGCGCAGCTGTGTGATGTGTTGCGGCACTTTTTGAAGCTGGAATTGAAATGGAGTGATGCACTCGGCAAAAAAGATTAAAAAACCACGAACTTATAGCAAGTTCTAGAAAAAATATTTACAATCTAAATTTTTACTAAGTATATGCTATAAAGAATTGGTACAGGTGAAGAAACTTAGGGAATCCATTCCAGCATATATTGGTATTAAAATAACCGACAAACGTACACCATGAAATAATAGAAATAATACAAACTAGTCTGAGACAAGCTAGAGATCTTCCGAGGTCACATAAGCTCAGGAGACTTAGGAAATTTAAGTAACGAAATATACATATAAAGGCTGAGTTTAATTTAGAATGATAGAATGACATAATAGCGCTGTCAAGCTTCACATTCTGGCAAGTTTTTAGAGCTCTATTCAAAATTAATGAGTTCATTATGTTTTTAGAGCTCTATTCTAAATTGAAGAAAACTCTTAATTTACGTTTAAAATTAATCAACAAATGAGAAATGAATAAACGTTGTTCTCAAATTTATAGAATTTCTGAAACATTTCTGAATGTTGGTTGATTTTTTTTAAGTGTAACTGAGTCGAATGAGAGCGGCGCCTGCTGTCGCTAATGCCTGCACATTTTAACTGTTTTCTTCAACAACTCACTCTTTCCTTCTCTTTCCGTGCACTCTATATATTTTTGCAGTGCCCGCCATGGGAAATTTCACAGACGAACAGGAGCAGCAGCGCAATAATGCGGCCGCCATTCCACAGGATACGCGCGAATATCCGCTTCAGAGCAACGACTATCAGCACAATCATAACAAAAATAAAATGAACGCGGCTGGTGGTGGTGGCGGCGGCGTTGGCGGGGCGGGTGTGTCGGCTGTTGGCGCCGCTGGTGGCGCCACCAGTGGTGGCCACAACTACAACAACGGACCGCAATGTAAGTATACAAGTAGCAGTACTAGTAGCGTGAATGCCAAAATTCAATTAAAAATTTTTAAAACAGCACACTAATTATTTAGTTTAAAAATATTTACTTTTAATTTCGTCGTGTGGCCGCGACGTCGGCGGCGGCTTTGACAAAATTTTCTGTTGCATGTTAATTTAACCGTTATCCTTCTTGGCTCCACTTTACAGTAATTGCACCACGGCCCATTGATCAGGAGCCGAACGAGGCGAATTTCATTGGCGTTGTTATTGTTGTACTAACAACGATAATTATCCTGCTGGTGGCCGTTATTTTGTTCATCGTGTCGCGCACGAAGCGAGCGCGTGGCAGTAACGTCCTCGATGCATTCCAATATAGCTTCAATCCCAACACTCTGGGCGGCAATGTCGACAAGCATCGGCCCAATGGCAATAGCATTAAGGTAAGTTCGCAAGGTCTCGGACTGTGTGTGTGTGTGTGTGTGTGGAAATGTGGATATGGTCAGCATGACTGACCAGCACGTCCATTTATTATGGCTTTTTCTATATATGTAGGTGTGTATGTGTGTGTGTTTGTGGGAGTGGACAGCCTGGCCAGTTGCAATTTTTCCTTCAAATTTCCACATAATTGCTCAATGTAGCGTAGCGTTTCCACATTGCTTGTGCCCGTCTACGTGAGCTTTGCACACTTGAGATGGCGGCGGCATTTATTTTATTTCATTTTATTTAATACAACTTTTCAGCAGCTTTTTAACACACGTACTCCAACAGATTGGCGGGGGATGAAATTTAAGTGCTGCTCGGTAGCACTGCCCGGGGAAGTGCGAGAATTTAATCTTGGAATTTGGTGTAAAAGTCGTGCAAGTGGAAGTTAAAAACTTGAGCTCTGAAGTGGCTAGATAGGGTAGATCAACTTCAAGAAATCGAATGCGAATGGAAAGAAGAGTTCCTGAAACTCAGAAAAATTCGCTAGAATTTTTTATCTTTAAAATAAAGTGTACAACACATCTTATTTTCAAAGCATTCTTTCAGTTTTCTTGCCCCTGTCTTATACTTTCCTAGCTTCTCTTAGACTTCAGTTGGGAAAATCTCACATATTTATTATTTAATGCTTCCCTTAAAAAGTAAGCGAAATGATTAATAGATTATCTCTTTAGTTAGAAAATATAGTATATCTTTGTTCATAAAAAGTTGGACTATACGAATTTCTTCAGGCTGGATCTAATTGAAATCTTCTTATTAAAATAAACAAGCCATATGTTTCCTTTAAAGATAGTTATTCTCATAGTAAAGGCTTAAATAAATAAATGATAAATATTGATTAGCAATATACACTAGAAGCTATATAATGTCGTTCACAATTAGCGTTGAATAGGGCTGGTAATGGATCTACTATTCCCTCCTATTTATAAGAGTTGTGGGGCATTCTTTTCATTGTAGTAGTATGAGAATAAGAATTAATGGCGGGAAGTAGAAAAATTGCGACTGTTCCCATTCCATCCTTTAAATATCGTTCACTTACTTAATTGAATGCATGCTGGTGGTATCTATGAAATGTTTATGCTTTTACTAGTCGCTTGATTAAACAACAATATTAATTTTCTTTTTACACATTTCTTCTGTCCACCACGTACAGGCCAGCGTCGATGACAACGACTCCATTGGAAAGAACAGTCTCTACCACGAGCCCTTCAATGTGAATATGTATACCAGCGGTGTGAATGGCTACGCAGCGGTTAATGATTTACAATGTAATATGACGCCAGACTATACAGGTGTGTATGCGAATTGTCTCGCCCCACCTACCACCCTCTGTCCCGCTCCGTCCCTTCAATTCCCCCATGACCGCAAGCATTTCCGTTGCGAGCCATAAAATATGGCGCCGGCAACTAATGCAAATAAATTTTTGTGGCTACATCGCCGACGCCGACACCGGCACTCGCCTTTTTGCCTGACTAAGCGAAATCCTTTTGCTTTCCATTCTCCCCGCTCTCTTAGATGTGCCCGAAGGTGGCTATGCGGTGCCCCACATGCAGGACTACATGCCAGCCTCGAAAATGGCCAACGCCGGCGGTGGCTACGTGAATGTGCGACGCACGCCACCGCCACCATTGAGCAGCATTTTCCCTCGGCCGCCGACTGTGCCGCCACCGCCCATGGAGAAGTATTATGCGACCACGGCCATTTTCAAGCCCATCAAGGGCGCCGGCAGCGTCAGCAGCAACACCAACACCGTCAGCAGCGGAGGCGGTAAGAGCAACCACAGTCAACAGCCGCTGGATCACAGCAACTACGACGATGGCATGGGCACCATGAATTCCCAATCTACGGCGCCCATGATCAATCCGTATAGCAGCAGCGGAAGGGAGAACAGCAGCGCCGCCGCCGAATTCCAGCGCGCCAGGACTTATAATTTCCGCAGCTATCCCGATAATCTCTAGTTCGAAGCTTCACTCAAGTTGGCAGCGGGCCCAGCGCCAACAGCGACTGCAGTGCGAGGAGAGGGCAGCGAGGGCAAAACAAACGTGGGCAGCACGCCGCGTGCTCTTAGCGTGGTCAGCACGATGCCCAAGAAGCAGCATCTGAGTATTGCCAACACAAATAATGCCGCAACGCTCTCCGTTAAGCCCAAATACAGTCTAACGCTGCACAACAACAAATATGCCGGTAATGGAAAGCCCTTCACTCCAAATTCCACAACAATGCGCGACAATCAGCAACAACAACAACAGCAACAACAACAGCGACAACATCTGAAGGCATTGCGCCTGACACGCGATGCAGTGACGGATTCTCTTGTCTCCGATTACAAACGACCGAGTGGACTGTCGCCGACAATGGCGCTGGAGGACGATATAGTGGGCGTGCATATCAATCGTAATCCGCTGAAAAGTGCTGCCAATGGTGAAGCTTCAACAAATCTAACGATAGCAACAACAACAACAAATACGAACACGAATACAAAAACGAAAGTAACTGCTAATGCAAATGCGAATGCAAATGGAAATGGTAATGGAAATGGTGTTATTAGAACACAAAACAACAGGCTGTGGTATCATTGATGAAAACCAAAAATTGATTGGATTTGAGGTGAGTTTAAGATTGAAATTTAACATTTCTTCAAATTAAATCCAATTTAATTCTGTTCGAATGAGGAAATCAATTACCCTGTGGGATTAAATAAGATAGAGTTATATTTCTGATAAATAGCTATATTAAGTTTTAGCTTTGCAGAATTAAAAATTTCAATATATTGGAATTACATTTTCATACAGGTATCATTTGGGTCCACATCTCCTTAAATTTAAATTCGAACTGGAATTTGCAATTTAATTAGTTTAAATAAATGGCTTGGATTTGGAAGAAAATTAAATTGTTTTAGGCAAGATATTCCAAACAAGAAGAATAAAAACTAACTATAAAAAATGTATTTTTTAAAAAATATATAAATGTCAAACCAGTATTACAATAGAGATATGTGTGTTTGGGATTTTTCCCAAGTTGATAAAAGAATTTAGAAGAGCAGAGAAAACTTTGGAGTAAAATTTCAAAGCACTATTAGGTGTAAAGAAATGCAGATCCCAATTAGATGTTTGGGATATCCCAAAACTAATAAATTTTACTCGTAAAACGGCCAGACAGGCAATTCTACAAGTATGTCCAAATATAATTTTTTTCTTCAAAAATGTCTTTTCAAAGCTTAGCTCTACAATGCAACACATTTGAATGCATATTGCTTGCATGTGAGATCAAAACTGTACTATTGGTTAGCGCTAAGCTATAGACAATTATTTTTAAAAACGAACAAATAACTTTTTATAATAAAATGCTAAGTCGTTTTAATTCCTTTATTGTAACCACATTAACCCTTTACCCCTTCATTCTTTGTACTTGCAGCGCTGAACTCTACAAGGACATGCCAGAAAGAAAAATTACACGTTAGAGCTAAATGTTAGTACGTTGACCGCCAGTGTGCCCTCACAGTGTTTGTTGGGAGGGCACACGGCGACAAACAAATTAAACCCACTGAGCAAAAATGTTGAATTAGCAACATCGCCTACAAACTTCAAGTAGCGCCGTACATGAGCAGAAAATTTGCCAACGAATACACGTAAACAGCACCCTGTAAATAGATATGTATCAATCGGTAGTTGAAAGCATATATTAAACATTAAAGCAAAACAAAATGAAGAGCTGAATTTTAAAAACAAAAACCGATAAGAAATGGGCACTAGTTTCTCATAGACAAGATGCAACTGCAAACATAAAAGCAAAAAAATATTAAAACGAATTTAAGGTCTAGCATTTAGCAACACAATTTGTTTATAAAACGATTTAAAAAACGAGATGAGAGTAAAGTAAAGGTAATACATATATTAGCTATAATGAAGTTCAACTGATTTTTAGTACCTTTTCCGAAAATTGCAACTGCAACACTAACTGTAAATGCCTGTAAAACGTCTAGTACTAGCACCCCGCCCCTTCCACCCACCCCCAAAAAAAGAGAGAGCCCCCCACACTACTTAAACCCACTGTAAATTTCTGTGTATAAATCTTAGAGGTATCCGTCAGATACATAGTTGTGTGTCCACACAAAGATGATGAGCAAGAGGAAGAGGCATAGGAGGAGAACAACGCCGCGTCAAAATATTATGTGAGGTATGAAGTAGTAAGAGTAACGGAATTTAACGGACCAAGAGCATGCAGAGCGTCGTCGCCTAAAACCAAGTATAATGAAGTTTTCATCAATGATTTGTGATTGAATATTATGCAACTACTTATATATATATATTTAAAAAGAAAAAAACTATAAAAAAAAACCATAAAAATATCTTTTTTCAGTTCTAATGCTAAAACCTTTAATTTGTAACACAAATGTTTAATGTTTAATTACCCTAAACGACTCTGACTATAAAATAAAAGAAAAAGCAACACTATGAATATTTAAATAAAATATTAATTGTAAACGCGCGAAGAAAGTAAAGATAAAAAGTACTATAAAGTAAATCATGTATATGTTCCTTTTTAGTTTAGTTTAAATAATATCACAAAACAGTACTAAATGTTAAAAACGTAGTAGCTTCGTAGTAGTTCAATAAACGGAAAACAATTAAATCCAAATTAAAAGCAAAAGCAAAACACAGCATTTAAATAAATAAACAACAAGTAAACACGTTGCAACAGAAAATAGCAACAAAATAAAACAAACTCACACCAAGCAGCAACTAAACCGTAAAATAGTCTAAATAGTAGCATAAACAGAGCAACAACAGAAGTCAAGTATTCACCAACAAAAGGCAAAAAACATACAAAAGTTAGGCACAAGAACAGGACACATACGAGATACAGACAACAGACACAGAGATAAAGCAAATTGTTTGTGCAAATTTTTGAAAAGTTTTTAATGCAACTTAAGCAATGAGAGAGAGCATGAGTATAAGAGTTAAAAAGTAAGGTTAGAAAGTTTTTAAAACATATTTGAAACATTAATTAACATATTAGGCATATAATGGGTATAAACTAGATATGCCTTCAGCAATTCTTCTCCTTCTGTTCGTTCTCAGCACTCAATTTTCGCGTTTGTCAACACTTTTTGCAAACTTTCCAATTTGCCAGCTACAGTTTTCAACACTTAACTCACACCCACACACACTTTGCAACACTGTCAATGCAACTCTGCGACACTGAAATCTGAAATCACAAACCTACTTACAAGACTTGTATAAATAAATAATTATAATAATAATAATAATGATAATATACATATACATATGTAATAATTGGTACGCGAACGTAGTATTAAGCCTTTAAGTTGAAATTAAATTTTGTATAAAAAACAAAGAGCAGTAGCAGAAGCAGAAGCGACAGGAAGCGCATTAAAGTACTTTGTAAAAATTTATAAACTAATTATTGTGTTTTTTTGTAAACTAAATAATTGCCGCAAACAAATGTGTGCGTGGGCTTGACATTTGATTTTTAGACTAGTTTAATTTCTAAATTAATTTAAATGCATTTATTGTATGTAATTTTCGATGCAAAGTATATATATACATATATCTAGTATTAAATCATTTCAATAACTGAAAAATAAAAACCACAGAGAAATTTTGTTTTCAATAAATTATTGAGCGTGACACACACACACTCACACACATCCACGTACATACACGTATATATATATATATGTATTATTGAACATTGATATAGAAATGAAATTGCAAACAATCGAAACACGACGCTAAACATTTGGCATGTGTGTGTGAGGAAAGCGCACGCCACGCTGCATAGATATAATTTAAAACAAAGCGTAATATATTATAAATATTGGTAACAGAATTAACACAATAAATATTAATTGAAATATTTAAAAAGAGAAAAAACAATGCGAACGTTGTTGTTAAGCGCAACATAAGCAAAATTTAAAAACAACAAACAAAAACAAATGACAATTGAACACAAAACACAAAAGAAATGGGTAATAAATCATGAAAAACGCAACCTAAAAAGGCAGAAAATTAATAAAAATATACAACTGAAAAATCTTTAAATAACCTATGCATATTTTATTTATCCACAAACAATGGGGGAATACTCTAGTCGTATTGGCAACAGAATTGCTTCAATTTCAATTTTACACACGGCACCATTTAATTCTACAAATGTGTTTGATCTTTTGTCAAGTGGGCCCAACTCTTAAATACCCTGTTAACAATCCTTTACCTATCACGATGAAACATGAAGAATATATATATTTTGTTCACATCCCGTTTTCCCTTAGGGTATAAAAAGCATTTGTAGTCCTATTGCTGGCCACCTATTGGTAGAAAAGAGAATAAAACGCGACCTCACCTAGGTTCGACTTTACAAATTATGAAACTGATCCTGAAGACACAGTTTCAAAATTGAAATCAGAGAGTCTTAGACTACAAGACAACTTAAAGTACAAGTTGCTTCCCAAATTACACAGGACTTGTTAAATATAAAAACTGGATGTTGGCTAATTAAGTTAAAATAATCACTTGTCTTAAGCTTAGTAGCTTTACACAATTAAGAAGTATTTAAAAGTGCTTAAAGTGCTTTCCATTCACGAGCAAATACAACTTTCTAAAATGGTAATTGTAACATAGATGGATGAGTTTTTGAGTCATCTAAAAATTAGATTACTTTGCTTGCCAAATGACACTTCTCATAGTCAAATATAGAAGAAGAGACTATCTGGTTATATGTAAGAAAGAAAGGAGTTTTAATTTGAACACATTTTTGGGGCAAGTATATAGGGATGCGTTAAGAAATTAAGTTCATTATTTAATCAAATTTCATCGAAGAGCCATAGTTTTGTCTTGCCTTGTACACTTAGCAAAAAAAGAAGCAATTCAAAGCCTTTCAGTAGCTGCCAAGAACAAAGAACCCTGTCAAAGCTGATGCCTTTTAGCCGCTGCATAAACATCAATCTGCTAAAATAAACAAACAGGAGGGCAATAGCAACTCGTGTTTATACAAATAGCCAGATAGAAGTTCTGGAACTTGACACACAGACTCGCAACAGCAAACATCTGTACGCGCGTAGAATGTACCCCTCGTATTAAAATCCATTCATATCGGAAATTGATTCCATTGGGATTAACTTCGACGAAGTTAAGCATAAGTCGTTGTTTACTTAGCCAAGACATACTCGTGCGAGTATAACCCCGAAGGCCTTAATCAAAGCACTTGCCGGGCAGATTCGCTACCCCACATATGGCAACAACAACAATAACAGCAACAACAACAAAAGCTAGTACTACAACAATCACCATTGGATCAATGACCGCCTGCTTTAGCGTCCGTTGCGCTCATTTGACATCTGTTTTAATTCACGCATATTTCGCCAATTTACGTTTCAATGAGAATTGACGTGCGTGCAAAGAAAAGCCAACAACAACAACAACAACAGCTACAATAACTCGATTACACTGCACAATAGTCTACAAGTGCATGCTATACAGCAGCAAACACGCAGAACCACCTCCTCCTCCTCCTGCTCCTCCCACTTCTCCCACACATGCCACATGTGGCACGACGTTGACCACAAATCGATGCCAAAATGCGCGCACCCTCCACCTCTCCACCCCCATCCGCCATTCACGCTTCTCACTTGAATGACAAGCGACCACATGCGTCGATTTTCAACGTTTAAATCAAATATGTATAATAAAATAATAACGTTGGCCCGAAGCCGAGCCACTTGTACGTCAATTTGTTGCCTTCTTTTAATTGACACTTTCGATTGTCAGTCAAGTTGTCCATCAGTACAATCGACTGTCGGGCTGACTCAATGACTAACTGACTGACTGTGTGACTGACTGAATGACTGAGTGAATGCCTGCTGTTTTTTACGCCTGTCATTAAGGCAAGCGATTTTTGGCAGAGAGAGAGAGAGGGAGGGCGAGCTGCTGACACCACCTCAATGATATACAGTGGTTCTACATATATTCCAATCCTTTCCAGTAATACTTATAATAGAAAATATTTATAATCATTTATTCTGATTGATAAATACTATAAATTAATCAATTTATGGAAAAACTTAAAGCGACTAAAGATGTTTTATGATTTAACATTTTTGTGACGATATTATTAAGTATTTTTATTCGGGAATATAAATACTATAGTGTCTGTTTATTGCATTATTTTCTACCTATTATTATTTATAACTCGAATTATTCAATTTTCTATTGAAGGTGCACATGTTGGTCAATTTAAAACCCTCTTTGGAAGAATACTTGTAGTTATTCAGTAGCTTTCCATTAGCATTAGCCTTAGATTTAGATCTGGACAGCATGTATTGCTGCATTATCTTACAAAAATATATATGTGTGCATCCAAAAGTTTTATACAAATCTATTTTAATATTTTAATAGAACTGGCTACAACTTAGCTTCAGTAATGTTTTCAAATAAGAATGGGGAATTGAAATGGATGTCTATTACATACATATTTACAAATATTAAATGATTGCAAATTAAAAGGAAGCCGTCCCTAAAGTTAATTATTCTAGTGAGGCCTCAACATAAAAGTTTTCATTAAGTTTTAATTATAGAAATATATTTAAAGCCATGAATATACATTTTTCGCACCACTGTGCAGCTGTCAATCGGTTTTGTGCGCTTGAAAATTAGTTGAAATCCATTTACGAAAATACAAAAAATGTTTTTATTTACTTTAATGTCAATGC